AGTTCCAACACATTCTTTGCAAGCTTCCCAGAAATGACATACAGTAAGAAAAACGATCAAACAAAAAAGCAGAATACGCAGATTCATTAATTCTCAGTTAGCAAATTCAATATTCTCCAGCTTATAATCAACATTACTGGTTTTACTCCATTTTCATACCAGTTTTCCACAACTAGTACAACTTCCTGTGCTTTACCACAATGAAAATGCTTTCTTGCAAATTTCAAGCTTGACAGATAACATCTGCGTGGGAACAGATTTTCAGTATGTATTTAAAATATTTAAGACAAATGAAGAATTCCTACCCATGCTAAGTACGTAACACAAACATAACTGTCTAAACAGTGAGTTTACTTTTGCAGGTATGCTTAACAAAGACCTCTAAATAATAACTGATTCTGGTTTCCACTTGAAGAAGAAAATTTTTCCAGTGCCAGGCAACATTTTTTCCACCCACTGTAAATTCTCAGCAGTCAACTCCTGCAGTACTCAAATAGTCCGACAGAGTGCTCACTTAAAAGCAACAGTAAAGTTAAAAACTAACAAGAGTGCCTCAGCTCTACTTATCCTCTACTTGCATGGCCTGCATGTTAACAAGCTGTATTTTCAAAATCAGTTCCTAATACCTTAACAGCAGTTTTTATGTAAAAATAAATCCATATACACATACCCCCTGATGCCTTAGCAATCCGCTTAAGATCCTTTTTTACAACTCTTCGTACTGCCATAGCACCAGCATCAACGAAGTATTTCAGACACATGTCATCAATACCTCCAGTGGTGAGAATAACATTGGCACCAGTGGCCAAAATCTTCTGGATTCTTTCTTTTGTAATATCTGATTCTCTGCAAGGAGAGAAGTTACAGAAGTTATCGAAGTTAGAAAAGACTTTTACAATTACTATTCAGTATATTTGGGAGATGTTAACATTTAAAACGTTTTTGCCTCTTGCCTTCAGTGAAAATTACATCAAGCCACCCCAACTGAAGAGACCAAACAAGCCTACAAAACCCCACTGGCTCAGTCAGTCAAGCTTCCACAAACCTCTGTCTGATCTGGTCCAGCTTCTCAGGGTCTGAGATAACAACCTGCACACCGAGCTTCATTTTTGCTTTCTGCAGGCTGAAGTCAAGGCACGCGATCTTTGCATTAACTATTCTCTTGGTCATACCTGAGGAGAAGGGAGTACACAACAAAAAGGATGTCAAACCGGGTTAGCAGATCCTCAATTTAGCATTAAAGAACAAAATTTAATGCTTTCGTTTTTGCAACCCAAAGTTTTAGAACTTACACAGTCAGGATCCATGCAAAAATACTAAGAGGCGAGAGTTCACACAAAAGCTTTATAAAACATAGCATGTTCTTACCCTGTGAGCCCACCACGCAGTTCAGAGCATAGCCATTCACGAGAATGCTCTCTTTTTGGCTGCGGCCGTGTGCCTTCAAAACGTTAACTGAGTTGATTGGATACCGAGCCTGACCCTTCTGGTCTGTGTATTTAACTGCCATTGCAGCATCCACCACCATATTGGCAAAGAAATCACCATCGCTGTAGTGCTAAGTTAAGGTTAAAACTGAAGATGAAAACTAGTATTATGCTTAAGGAAAGGAGGGAGAAAAAACAAACCACAACACACTATGGTAGTGCTACGCTTAGAAGCACAAAAGAACTTTTTTTTTTTTCCTGTGGTTACCAAAATGCAACCTTCTTTCCTATAGCTTCGCTCCCCTGGCTACTAGTCTGTAATACATTCTTCCATTCACACAATTCCTTCACCTGTATCACTAGCATGCATTAGCAGTAAAGAAACAACTAGTACACTGATAAACCAGTTACGGTGTTCCTATCCAGGTCCAGATAATTTGTAAAGGTCTGAACAGATTTCCCATGCCAGGTAACAACACCTTTGAAATGCTTTTCACGCCCTCATTATGAATGGGAGAATACTTATTCCATCTGTCATTTTGTCAGAGATGCTGCAAAAGCAAACCAGCCTAGCTGCCCAAGATCTAGAAGAAAAAAACAAAACACTCTCATTTAAGTAACTTAATCAAGTTAAGGATACATTCCTATAATCTTAGAGGACATTGATGTTTTAGCAGCATTAATTAGGCATTCCCTGCCCAGTTCGTCCGTGTTAATAGTAAGATTTTCATTGATGTAGCGAACTGCTTCCCTATAAAATAAGACAAACACTGGTGAAGAACGCCACTCCCACAAAAGAAAAAAGTCTCACATTTCTCAGCCTTCCAAATGTGAAGATAGGAACTAAGTAAATTCGCCTTCTAGGACATTAAATATGACAGTTTTATGTAATGCTATATGAGTTCCAAATTAAAACTACAACAAAAACAATAAACGTATCTACTTGGCACCTAAGAAATCTATATTAATGCAGTCATAAATACAGAAATAAACAAAAAGCATGCAGTTATTATACCTTGAAAAGGCAAAATACTTCAATTGTATCAGTTTCTTACTTGCAAGCAAGTCTGTATCCACCAATAATGGAGGTAGGATGAATTTTCTGTTTGACTAGTTCATCTGCATTTTTTAGAAGTTCTGCAGCAATGATTACCTGTTTGAAAATACAAATATCAAACATGGATATCCCATATTAACAAAACAACTACTCATTGTATTTGAAAGCAGAATCACTGGCTTTCAATGGAGAAAAAAAAAAAAAAAAAAAGGATGAAAAAACTGCAGTGACTTCCATTCCAGAGCCCCAGACACGTATGGACACCGGTATCTCTCCACACAAACACCCCCCCCACCTTATCTACTACGTAACCTACTGCAAGAAAACTCTTATTCAGACATCTGCAGATTTCTTCATTCTGCATACTTAATCCACATTGCATCAAGATTCATAACAGGTAAATCAAAAGCTGCACTGTCACCATGAAACACTGCCTTTTGGTGTATGCCTGTAAAACTCCTTACATACCACTGAGGTTGTCCCATCACCAACTTCTTTGTCCTGTAGGTCAGCCAGTTCACAAAGCACTTTTGCAGCAGGATGTTCCACTTCCAGCAGTTTCAGAATGGTTGCACCATCATTAGTAATGGTCACATCCTAGTTTTCAGAAAGCAAACGTTAATACAAAGTGCATGTCTTTCATTGTAAATATGAAGAAGAGTCATTATTCTTTGCAACCATCCTTAAAGTAATTTATAAAAAAATAGTAGAGTAACGAATAGCTTCTAATATCATAGTTGATTACTGCAGTCTGTAGTTAAAATTTCCTTGATTTGTTATTATTATTATTATATATTATATTATTATTATTTTAAAATTGCTACAATTATTTGAATTTATTTTTATGTTGTTTCTCACAACATAGAGAACAGGATAAACAAGTCAAGACTACTGTGAGGCCTGACTAGTGGTGCTATTTGTTCCCTTATTCCAACCAATGCTTAAGTGGTGACAAAAATTTACATGGGGAAAGGAGACAATTGTGCTATGACAAAAGCAACACAGTATGAAACACCTGAGAGCAAGCATGCTCAATCCTCCCCAAATTCTGCTCTCACTCCCTCTCAGCATTGCACAAAATCTGAACAGGTACGTGCATTATCAATCAGATGGGTAAAACGCACTAGCTGGAAGCACTTAATAATACAAGTCATTCTGGCACTTCACAATTCAAGAAAGCTCGCTTACCCCAATATCATCCACCAGCATCTTATCCAGACCAACTGGCCCAAGAGAACTTTTCACAATGTTGGCGATAGCAGATGCAGCAGTAACTGTGCAAGGGAAAGAAAACAAAAAAATCTGTCTGATGATTCACGTTTACAGATGTGCCAAGAACCTGTGTTTCAGAAACTTTTTTTTTTTAAACTACAGTGGCCTTATTTAGAATTGTTTTGGCCTGGCTAAGCTGCAAAATGGCTTCCTGCCGTTAGAAGTACTAAATGCAAATAGAGGAGCGTGCATCAAGGCAGACACAGACGAATGGTACCGCCATGTAACAACTAATAAAAAGTCTTTTAACCTCAGTTAGGTCCGTGACTAAAACAAAATCGTTACTCTTTAACTAAATATTTTACATTAAAAATGAGTGATCTTTAGTGGCCAAAGTATGACCTGCTAACGTAGTGCCTTGTTTAAACGATGTTCTGCCAGCTTCATATAGGAAAAAGATACAATCAACCTTTTCCTTCAGACCGTGGCATTTTTTTCTCTATCCCACAAGCATAGCCACTTCATCTGGAAATTGACAAAGCGGTAGTATAATGGGAAGAGCTCGCACGCAGACCCTCACTCTGAACTTTAGGCGATGCAGGCATTTCTTTCCTTTTAGGGCAGCAATAGCTTTGGAAAGGAACCACCCTTGTATCGCCAAAATCGCCATCGTCAATTATAGATTAGCGTAATTTTGAGTGTCCTGAGCACGGCATTAGAGTTTAATGACTATGGCGATGATGGAGGCCCTGCGGGCCCGCCGGAGCACATGGCGGCCGCGCCAGGCCGCCCCCCCGCGGCTCCCCACCGCTCTGCTCCCCACACCGGGCGTGCGGCGGCCGTTACCGTTCTGCGTGCGGATGCTGTCGCCACTAGTGCGCTCGCCGAAGACCGCCAGGGGCCCGTCCATGGCCGCCATGTCCGCGCCGTGCGGTGCCGCCTGCAGCGGGCACAGCCTGCACCGGGCGCGCCCAGCCGCGGAATGGCCGCCGGGCCGCGGGGCACCACGGGACCCCCCCCCCCGCGGCGGGCACTCCAGGCGGGGGGGCGGGGCCAAGCCCCGCCTGGCCAATCGCAGGGCGCGGCGCGGCGCAGCCTCGAGCCGCGATTGGGCCGCGCGGTGGAACAAAGGCGGCGGGAGGCGGGCGAGGCGGGGGGGGCTTCCAGGACCTTCTAGAAGGTGAGGGGCGGGGCGCGGCGCTCGCGCATGCGCGCTGGCTGCTCGCAGCGCCTCCCCTCAGGGGCAGGGTTACAGCCGCCGGGGGGGGGAGGAGCAGCCCCGCGTGACGTCACCAAGCGCGGGCGGAAGTGCTCCCGGTGAGCTTCCGGGGCAGGTGCCGGCCTCACCCAAGATGGCGGCACCCAGGCGCCGCTGAGCGGAGGGGAAGAGAAGGGAAAGGAGGGCAGCGCAGCGCAGCGCGGCCCCATGGCGCTGAGCGGCCGCTGCTGCCTGCTGCTGGCCGCCGGCAGGCTCCCGGCACGTGGGGCGGGTAAGCTCGGCCCCTCTGCGCCCCTTGTGTGTGTGCTCGGGTTTGTGCTATGCGTGGATCTTAAAACACGGCTGAAACGTCATGTGCCTTTAACTTGTAGTTTACAACCCACTTCGCACGTCAGAGAATGAGGCTGATCATGAAAACATGAGCTCTGATCATTTTGTATCATATTCTACTATTTGTGCTACACCTACTTTATTTTTTTTGTTTTTATTTTTTAATTTTCCCCAAGGTTTTCGTTCTGCAGCGACTACAGCGAGTCTCAAAGCAGAGCCCGCGGTGGACACGAGCGACAATGATGTTGTCGCCCCGGCCTTCACCAACAGGAACCCCCGCAACCTGGAGCAGCTGGCCCTCGCCAGGAAGGAGCGGGGCTGGAAGACGACGTGGCCCAGGCGGGAGTTCTGGCACAGGTGAGGCCCGAGATCGCTACTAGGAGCAAAGACTACAAAAGAGATAATAATTTTAAAAAGTACCGTGTGAAATCCCTATGAAATGCACTTTTTTGGTTTATCAGCTGAAAATAACTACACTTCCAACTGGGGATTCAATATCAGAGCATTAGACTTCAAGAGACTATATGACAAACCTAACGTTATTTTTTGACTGGAGCAGTTTGCCTGCACAAGCACCAATGCTACCTTGTGCAGGCACACAGTGCTTGGTTTCGGTGTGAGTGCTGGTGGTGTGAAGGAGTGTCAGGCTGTGCACGTAATTGCTCAGGAGTCACTCTTGGAATTTCCCTCAGTTCAGCTGGTAACATGATTCCTGGTTTATGTCTTAATGAAGTAAGAAAAAAATAGATAAAAAAGCGATATTAAGAAATTATTATTATATTAGTAGTTCCACTGCATCCGATTTTATTTCACAAAGCAAGTAATTTAAGAATTTCAGTGTGTTCTCTTTGTAGACCTGGAAAGGACGTCACCTCCCATGTCACTTCTTTCCTTCACCCAGATTACGGCTGGAGCGGACGCAGCATTACGTAGAGGCCTTTGTTGAGCGCTGTAACGGAGATGTTGTAGTGTCTGCCTCTACTCGAGAGTGGGCTATAAAGAGACACCTGTACAGCCCCAAGGGGGTAACAGCGTGCAAGAACCTCGGCCGTGTAATGGCACAGCGCTGCTTGGAAGCAGGAATCAACTTTGTGAACTTTAAAGCTGTTATTCCCTGGGAACGTCATTGTGACTCGGCAAGTACCCATCTTCTTATACTTGTTTTGCCTTTTTTACCTTTTTAAGCATTGATTTACTCTCCTCATTATTAATTTTCTTTTGTGGCTTGACTGTCCCATCTTGTAACAGTCAAAATGGTAACCCTGACGAGCTCTAATTCATGGCATTGTGCTTCAGTGAGGCTGTTAGCCTCTGACCCACCACAGGTATTTGATGCTGACTGCTTTTCTCTGTATTTATTCATGTCTCTCTCTCTTTTCAACAAGATTCAAGAGTTTGAAAAAGCTATGAAAGAGGGCGGTGTTGTTCTGCAAGAGCCACGAAGAATTTATGTGTAAGATGGAGATCATCTGGAAAACTTTCCAAGGAAAAAAAAAAATCACTTCTTTTGGTGTATACAGGCACAGTGAAGGTCCAGGAATGGAAAAAGCTGGACCGCAGTATCTACTAATAAAACATTTTTAAATGGATTTGTGTCGTATTCTTGATTCTAAAACTATCAACACCTTTCTTCTAAGGCTAGGCTAACCTGTTCTCATGGTTCAGCCTTACTGCTGGTCACTCAAATACCAGATTTTATTTTGGAATTCAGTAACTTTTCAACAAGTTTTCAGTATTTCATTTGTGTCGTTTCAACCTGAACACTGGAAAGGTATTTGACCCCTGTATGCTGGCAGTCTAATTTAGCAGATGGCCATCAGGTGAGCATTTACTGTGGTCACAGTTACACGATCAACTCAGTAAACACACAAAAACAAAAAACCACAGAAGTTTGCATTCCCTTAACTCATCTTTTTAGCCTTCTTGCAGCCCTTACCTCAGTGCGGAGGTGCACGATGTAGGTGCAAGATTCCCGCTGCCCGTCCCCCCAGCTGTGTCGGGTGTCGCGACCCGCCCCTTATATCGCAGCCCATTTCCCCCTTCCCGTTCAGTCCCGGGGCAGGCGCGCAGGCGCTGGGGGCAGCGGGGCGGAGCGGGGCTGTGTCCCTGGGTCTTGGGGGCGATGGACGTGGGGGCTGCGGGCTTCGGGCGGCTCCTGCCCGGCCTGCGGGACCGGGTCCGCAGCGCTGCCTTCCTGGGTGAGCGCCGGGGCCCGGCTGGGTGCCCCCAAAGTGCCCCCATGGGGCCCCCCTGTCGCCCCCCTGTCGCAGCTGTAGGCTGCTCGGGGCAGCAAGCTGCTGGTGCTGGCTGAGAGCGAGCCCCCCCGGGCATGTGGGGGTGGTTTTGTGCTTTCGGAATGAGAGCCTTGGGGGCTGTTGGAAGGAAAGCGGGGACATGCAGAGGGAGGCACTTAAAGCAGCCTTTGCTTTGGAATGACCCCCGAGGGAAGGGGAGAAAGCGGGATGCTGCTGCACTCGCTGTGTTACGGGCAGGCGGTGAGGGTGCTGCCCTTCGCTCACCTTGAGAAACCGGCCAGGGAGTAAGAGGGTTTGCTCTTGCAGCAGTTCACCCCTTTTTTTCTTCTGGATCTGCTGTTGGGTTTAACAAAGAGGTTGGGGTGAAGAGAGACCCTTCAGAGATCCTTGGCCGGGTGCTGGCAGAATGCATGCCTCGTATTTTGTTTATTTTGCTTTGTTTTGGTATTCTTTCTAACAGGCCTCGATATGGAGTTCACTGGCTTACACTCGGCTGTCCCACAAAATAACCAGCCCAGGTAAAGCTGCTGGACTTGAATCATGAGGAAGAATTGCTGTTCAGGCTCTGTGAAAGCCAACCTGTGCATTGCCACAGTTCTCACTTTCCTTCCCCTTCCCTCACCCTGCGCTTTGGGTTTTGTTTTGGCAGCCTGTTTGATTCCCCTGCCGAGCGGTACCTGAAGGTCAGGCAGAGCGTGCAGTGCTTCACAGTCACCCAGCTGGGTAAGTGCTCCATGGAGCAGTCCCACCAGGGCCCCTTGCTGGCTGCTGAGCCCTTGAAGCCCTACCTTTGGAGTCTGTTCACAGAGCCATTTGTTGGCAATGGTAGGTTGGTTGGTTGATGTTCTTCTGATGTTTCCACTAGCAGCTCTTTAATACTGTAAATAATTTAAAGTCAGGTGGGCCATATACTTCTTACTGGTCTAAAGCTATTCATATTTAAATATCCCAGGTACAAATACAGAGCTATAAAAAACAAGGGTGCAAGCAAGAACGAAGTGATAACAGCTCCAATTCAAGGCTGTCGACTGTTTATGCGATGTATGTGTAAGGGGACTGTGAGAGAGAAAAACAAAGGATGGTATTTCTGATTTTTCTAAAATGGAGGAAAAAAAAAAAGAAGAGAAGGGAGCACTGGTGGAGGGCTACTGAAAATTTTCTTAAGAACCAATTAAAGGTTAGGAGTGAAACTCTGGAAGTGTTTTAAATATTCTTCAAACACTTAATCTACGTAAGATCTTAATGTGCTTTTTAAGGAGTAATAGGAAAATGAGAACTTAAATACCCAGCTCCTTACACGTGCTTTTGTAGTGTAGCTGGACCCACTGGCCTACGTGTGTGTAGTTGGAGACTTTTGTCACTGACTCCCCTCTTCTCACCCCTTGCTCAGTCTATTTACTGCTTAACCAGACCTGACTTCTTGCTTAACTGAGCACTGAAGAACTTTCAGGGCTGTCAGGGAGCTGAGGATTGGCCTGGCAGTTTGTGTAAAGGTTGCAGTGTGGTGTTAGTAAATGAGAAACACACTCCTTCAGGGATCTCACATCACTGATTTCATTTTCATGGTATTGTAGACATCAGCCCAACATCACTATTTCAGTTCAGGTCTCTCTTTCTTGCAGGGCTGGCAATATTCACAAAAGAAAATTCAAACAAGTAAGTAAAAAGCATCCTTTCCATGTAGACTTGTGCTTTTCTGTTAAAACGAAGGCAGCGTGGTTGAGCTTCTATGCAGAAATCTCTTGGGAAGGACTGTGTCATTTCTCGTAATCATCTTCTGGAGATTTTTTTTCTTTTTATTTTAGGTATGTGGTGCATTCATACAACTTTTTTCTCTTTCCGTCAACATTGGGAGTTACGGATGTTGAATTCACCCTCTCTGCGTCTAGCATTCAATTCCTGTCTCATCATGGCTTTGACTTTAATAAGGTATGTAGTCTCTATGCCAGGAAACTAGAGCAGAGGAGGTCTGTGCAATTCTAGGAGAAACTATGATTAATATCTCTAAATGATACATTCTTGGGGTAGGCAGCTTCTTCCTGATGTATGAATCCATTGTGTGGTTCATTAGCAGGGAGAGTGAGCACTGGTTTTCTGAAGGGCCTGAGAGGCAATATCCACATCTTTGTCAGCCTAAGACAAATTCCCCTATCCCTGAAGATGAAAACACAACTCTTTTGAGCTTAGAAGTCGCTAAACAGAGCCCAGTGGGAGTTTTTAACTTGCCATGAAGGTGGGGGAGTCTCAGTGTACCTGTACCTTATGTATTTCCATGCTTCCCATAAACTGAGGCTGTTGTTAAATAAGAGCACTGTTTAGCAATTTTGGATAGGTCACATCATATGTTGGTATCTTGATGCTTGAAGTATCTCAGTAAAGGAAAAGTAAAAGCAGAGCAAAAAAAAAAAAGTGTCTTCCTTTATGTACAAATACATCTTGGACTACCTACAGTTAGTGTTTTTGGAGAAGATATTTTGAGAACAAGAATCACCAGCACTTCCTAAATACATGTCAGTTTTGGAACTGACTAACCTGCTATTCTTTAATTTGGTGCAAGAAAGTCCAGGGGAGAGTAACTGACCATTTTTCTCCCTTCAGTTCCTGAAAGATGGAATCCCGTACATGAACGAGGTACAGGAGGAGAGCCTGAGCCAGCGTCTCTCAGAGGGCAGCTGGAGAGTCTGCAGGTGAGCGTTATTCAGAGGGGTGGCTCCTGTACTAATGCTGTTAACAGTTCTCCTTCACCTAGATCACGTTTTGTAAATCAGTAAAATGTTGTTCTGGATGCCTTGCTGCCAGTTCTTCCTGCATGCTGTGGTCTGCCCAGAGGGGGACTGAGACCACAGAACCGCAGGCTCACTGAGGTCGGCAGGGGCTTCTGGAGGCCACCTGGTCCAACCCCCTCCTCAAGCAGGGCCACCCAGAGCTGCTTGCCCAGGCCCACGTCCAGGTGGCTTTGGAGGATCTCCAAGGGCAGTCACCCACACAGTACAAAAACACGCTTCCTGATGTTTAGATGCAAAATATCACGGTACAATCTGGAGAGTTGGCTGGGTATTTGGGAAATACTTCTGCATTCCTACAGCAAGGCATGAGTCTCAGCTATAAAATGAACAAACAAATATAATTTCTCTTCCTCTTTTTTCCCTGATCCTGCTTTAGTGCTGTGGGCAGGAATGTGATGAAGAAGGCTATTGATGAAGTGACCAGGTGGATCGTAGCAGCAGAGGAAGGGGAGACCATGACTCTGAAGGATCTGAGTGGTACGGAACAGGGCACCTCCCTTGGGTACTGACAGGCTCTGAGTGGCTTCATCACTGCTGAACATCTGGGGCTGCTGGTGTCCTTTGCTGCCTGTTCTCTTAAACAAGTCTCTTAAGAATGAAAGCACTCGTGCCCATCCTGCCTTTACAGCCCTCTGCCTCTGCCTGTGCCTCCATTCTTGTCAGGAATCCATCTCTGAGCTCTGCTTTTCTGTGCTATTGTGGCGTTGGGTCTTCCTGTGGTGGAGGTGCTGGGATGAGGAGAGCTTGTTTTGTAGTAACTGGCTTCTATTTTGTGCTTCTTCAGAATAGTAAGTGGAGAATTTGTAGGTGATCTGAATCAGGAGAACTTTGAGCTTGTTTGCAAGCTGAGAAGTCTCTGTGCTATTTTGGGGGAGAAGAAGTACATGGAATCATAGCAGGGGCTAATTTGTAGGTTTGTTCGTGGAGACCAAACCTTAATCCTCCAGGTCAGGGGGTGGAAACACAGGAAAAGGTTAGGAAGGACTCTATTGATACTTTTTTTTTTCTTCCCCTCAGTCCAGTCCAAGAGCGTGAAATATGGAGGGTAGAGAGTGTGCTCAGTTTCCTATTTACTACACCTGCTGTAGTAGATATGATAATGAAGCCTAATTTATTTAAGCAATGAGACTGATTAAAGTGTCCTTTAGCATGCTGTTTGTAAAACGACAGGTTAATTTGTTATCAGCCACCTCTCATCTGTGCTCGGCTTCTGAGTGTGTTGCTCTGACACCTTTCACAAACACAGCCAGTCTTTCTCAGAGCGCTCATAATTACCTTTCTCCCTCTTGTTTTCAGTTGGTCTTTTGCTTTCCTCTACGTCCTCACAAAGGCTTATTTGACTGAAATTCTCACTGTGACTTTTTTTTTGCTGTCATGACGTGAATAGGAATGTACCAAAATCATACATTCAGGCCTATTTTTTGTACAGTGGAGAAGAAAAATCTGGTCAGTCCTTCTGTCTAGAAAAAGTGTTTTCCAAATAGGCTTCTCTGCCCCTCTGAAATTGTCACTATTTCTTTTCTGCCTTAGGCTCTCACATGCTTGAAGTTCAGCTGGTTCTGAGACAAGCGCTCCAGAATGTTTGGACACAGCCTCTTGAAGACAGTGAGGTGAGCTGGAAACTTGGACCTTTTGAAGAGGGGATTTCCATCTAGATAGATAGAACTGGTGTTCTCGCAGAGGCACCAAAATGTTGCTTGTACTTCTCATAATAGGAGTCCAGTAGGAGAAAACAGAACAACAACAAAAAAATGTACTGGGCAGTGCTTATTTTGGATCCCTTTCCTTGGCATATTATAAAATTGAATAACTTTGGTTTCTGTTTCACCTGTAGCCACAAAATACATTGAGCTGTGGAAGTGCTTGTCTTTGGAGGGGTTCTGCAGGGACTTTCTTCCTGTCCTTAGACTTTAATAGGTTGCTCTTTCAATGCTTTCACAAGAATGTGCAGTTTTTAGCCTTTTTTAGTGGTGTTCTTCATTTTTTATTTTTTTTTTTTAATATTTAGTGCAGCATTTTCTGAATTAAACTTAAGGCTGTGGACTTCTCAAAACATGGCACGAGTCTTAACAGTCAGTTGCTTAGGCATAGATTACAAAAGTAATTTTTATTTTTTTATTTTTTTTTTACACTAGTACTCTTTTGGCTTGATAACAAGTGTCAGCAGAGTGACAGATTTACTCATCCCACTCACCTGCAGCACAGCCTTTGAGGATTCAGTTTGTGTGATTGCTCTTTTTTTTTTTTTTCTGTTTTTCAGTGCCACAAGCTTACAGTATTGGCATAAAGTTAAATTGAATTATGTTTATTTGTGGTCCAAGATATCTATGGTAGGAACCATCCCGTTAAGAAGAGAAGCATTAATGAGACACCATTAGAACAGGACTCTTTTTTTTTTTTTTTTTTATTATTACTGGAGCACTGATCTTAGTAGGGAAGAGAAGTGAGGCTGTTTTGAGGTCCCAGGAATGTGCTTTTTTTCTGTTCTTCATAGCCTGGAAGCTGAACACGAGTCCTCAGCGTTACTGAACCCCAATAAGCAATGCACATACAGGTGGTGTGGGAGGCTGAGGTATCCAACATCTGTTCTTTTCAGGTAGTGGTGAAAAAAGTGAGTCTGCAACAACGCCGACTTCTGGAAAACTCTTCTTATGACTACTGCCGGAAGGAGCTGATTCTCACGTCTGCCCGGGGCTTCACCAACCTTTTCCAGATACTTGTTGAAGCTAAAAAGGTAAAACCCCCGTCTCTACTCTAATTTTTCATCTTTTTTTTAATTTACTACACTGTATGTAGAGATAAAAGATAAAGAAGTAGTTAGTGTTGAGTGACTCAGCTCATTCAGTGTGATCGCCCTGTTTAGCTGTCAGGAAAACTGAGATGAATTCTTAGATTGCAGTCACGGTTAGAAAAAATGTGTGTTAAACACAACGTGATCTTACTGACCAGGTTCCTCTCCCAAAGCATGCTCAGCATTATTGATCCAATGTTGGATTTCCCTGTGTTATGCTTCTGTTAATCCTGCAGACCAAATGAGGCTGAGGAGAGTGAGTCAGAAGCCATTCTGCAATGTGTTTTTTAAACTTGAGAAAAAGCAGAGTCTGCAATGCTGAAAATCCTTGCGTTACACAGCATGAGTCACCGTCTAAGAAAGCTGGGCAGATTCTTGCCTCTGGGGCAAGATACTGTGCTTTTCAGCATGTGGCAGACCTGTTTACCGGGCCATGTAGGCTGTCGATGTGATTGTATGTGGCAGTTCTCATGTTCTGTATGCAGGTCATTGAATGAATTTCAGCTTCAGAAGAGTTTAGGCCTGAAAGCTGTCCTTCCCCTTCTGGTTAGGCCTATAAATGTGATCGCTGAAAGATGCTAGCGCTGTTCAGCTGAACTGAGATTCTAGCTCATAGTTTCTTAGATCTATACAAAATAGGATACTATTCAAAAATACCCCCTTCAGAAAGTCCACAAGTCTGATTTCCTGAAAGCACTAGTCCTGCAGTGACCTTTGCAACCTGAATGACTTCTGTGTGAGTGCGTGTGGATGCTGTCCATGGGGGGAAAGAATTACAGCTGTTGAGCAGGTCTGAGGTGGGTTACATCTGAGTCCTTGTGCAGAAAGCTGCTCCAACAGGCTGTTATGTTCTTCCAACAGCCACTGGTGGGACATAACATGTTCATGGACCTCTGTCATCTTCATGACAAGTTCTACAAACCCCTTCCAGGTAATGCTGTACGTGTCGGCTGTCCCTGTCTGTGCCCCAGGCAGCTGCCTTTGCAGCAGGGATGGGGTGCTGAGCACAGTGGGCATTCGGCACCCCAGCAGGTAGCCCTGCAGTGCTTGGTGCTAGTCGCCTCTTCTGCACTCCGACTGCTGGAGCAGGGCATCATTCCTCAGGTGAAATACCGTTGGCTTTTCCTCAGTTTCATAACGTTTTTATCCATGTGCTTTGCTTTCAGAAAGCTACGAGGAGTTTAAAAGGAATATTCACAACCTGTTCCCTGTCCTCATAGACACCAAGACTGTAACAAAATCCATCTGGAGGGTAAGATGTGATGGTGCTTCTGTGTGGCATTAGAGCTTGTATTTTCTCTGCTGGGTGAAAGACCTTTCCTGAGTGGTTACAGAGCTGTGACTAGTCCTAAGTGTTGCCAAGAGACACTCTGACCTGAGGTCTCATTTAATGAATCAGCAGTACCAGCAAAGGAGCTCATGTGGTTTTCTAACATGTTCTTCTTTTACAGAATCATCGGTTTCCTCGAGTATCTACTCTTTTGGAGGTGTATGAGGTTCTGTGCAGGTCAGTGGTGGGCTATAGAAGCTTCTGCTATCACTTCATTTTCTTGGGAAAGATACTTTTTATATTCATTATTTCCCTTCTCCCAGATATTTTCCAGCTGGTTACTTGTCTTTCTAAATTTAAGAGCAAAATATTTTCTCATTTCTTATAAAATTATTGTCGAGTGAAGTATTTGTTCTAAAAGTCACTGCTCACATCAGAGCTTTATGGGCCTAGAGTCCATAAAATGTATTCTAGTCTATACTGTATAACTGAAATGTTTCATGTTCATTATGTGGTTATAGTGACCCCTATGTTCCTGAATACCAAGCAGGGCTTTAGAGCTTTGTAGGAGCTTTCCACCTTCATTTTATTGGTCTCAGGGTTAGCTTGCAGTAGCCTTACACGCAATTTTACATTTGTGTGTTGCTTATGGCATGCTATGAAATGAATAAGTTTAAATTCTCAGTGAAAACATACCCTAATTTCAAATGCAAGCTCCCAGGAAAGAGCTGTTAGTACTGAGCTCAAAGCTCTAATTAAACACAGTGATCAAGTGGAGCCTCAGTAGATACCCTATTTCACGAGCTTAACCATGATGTGGTTTTCTACACTTGTTCTTTGGATAAATTGTTTGCTTTTCCTACTGTTTGATACACACGCACAAAATTTCTTCTTTCCTCACCCCTACTCCCAAGAAGTAGATGCCAAATTAGAGCTTATAAAAACAGTACTGTTCCTTGTTTTGTAGCATTTTCAGACTGCAGATTCTCAGTTTTGGTACTTTTTTTTTTCTTTTATTTCAGTCACTCCATAGGTATCTATTTAATCTGTTTGCCGTTCAAATAGCACTCAAACAGAGTCATCTAAACCACCTCTCTCCTTGAAGTTGTCCATTGATTTTTTTTTTATTTTTTTTAGTTTAATTCACATTTTTATTTGCAATTAGAGCAGGCTGCTGCTTAGAAATTTTGGCTGTGGGAGGAGATTGAGGTAGTTTTTAGGAGTTAGTTTTCAGGAAAACTGTTAGCGTTCAGCAAAGAGTCTCACCCTTTAATAGGATACTACCAAAGTTTCTTTTAAACTGTTCAATAGTTTTTTCTGAAATGAAGCCACAGGTCACTAGAGAACAGGAAAGCCTGGCATATAACTTGTCTTGTGTCTAACATACTGAGGAAGGACAAAAATCTCACACATCCATTTGTCTTCAGCAACAACCTAAACCCCACAGATCCAACGGGCCCAGTGATTACTCTCGCAAGTGACTGTTCACGATACGGTATGTTTTTAAGCACATCTTCAAAGTTGGGTAGCTAAAGGGGTTTGTTTTATTGTGTGGATGTCCACATGGAAAGCGCGAGTGAATGTTGGTAGGACTGCTGAATTCACACAGGGCTTCTCATGCGTGTCAGTCCTGGCCCAAGGCCTGGGCTTGCAGAAAGTTGCATGTTCCTCTCCTCCCTGGTAGCTGCTGGGGGTAAGGCAGGGCAGGACACAAAGGTTCACACCACGCTGCTGGCATAAATGGCATTTGCACTCAGATGGGCTGAACTGAGCCCAACTCGGTGCGGTGAAGAGTCAGCAGCCCTTGGGCAGGGGGAGGTGGGAAGTAGCAATCCTAGAAGAGGGAGCTAGTGGCATGTAGGTCCCAGAAAACAGCTGAGCTAGGTAGCTCACAGACCTTTCCTGCCTCTTCTGGTGTCCTGCAGCCCATGGCCTTCTGTGTTTTGAAGCAGTTCCCATGCCATCAGTAGCATAAAACACAATTCCTTTTAGGTTTTCATGAATGTTCATTTTATTTTTTATGTGCATCTTACTGAGCTCTTCAGCTGTTGGTATAACTGCTGCCTTTTTGTTGACTGTTTTAAAGTGCCTTGTAGAATTGTAGACCTGCTATTGGGTGTAAAGGCTTTAAGGGAAGGAGAGAAACTGCTGAGGGATGGGGGGGGGGAAATAGGATTCTGTGGCCAAGCAGTTTCCACAGTATGCTGGAGGCTTTTACTGCTTTTTAATTTTGTTGGACACTTACAGCTGAGAAGAAATCCCCTCATGAGGCAGGCTATGATGCATTTCTCTGTGGTTCAGGTAAAATGTTTCTCAAACGCTTCTTGAACTATTTTACCGGGGCTTCGCAATTCATTTCCTGCTCTGTTTACTGCATGCTAAGTAATATTTGTTTATACACAGTCTTGTTCTTAGTACCTTACCTGCACTTTGAGTTTTTTACTTTCCATAGCTTTATTTATTTAGTTATGTTTCTATATCTTTGTTCTAAAGTATGGTTGTTTCTCCTTCTAGTTCTTCTGAAGTCAGCTCATTTGCTACTACACAGAGTGACAAAGTGAGTGGTGTTTACATGTTTATCAAAAATCTTGTTACACAGAAGAGTCTTACAGAAAACAGTCCTGAGTTTGCTCTGGCTGACTTCTTGTTTTTCAGTCTGACCTTCCTTTTGGATAAGAGAAAGTGTTATTGAAAATGTCATTGTTCTAATTAGATTGTTATTTTATAAATCTGAAAGTAGTAGATTTATGTCAAAGCTGACATTTTGAAAATGTAATCAGGGGCCATGAGATGGCTCAGAGGTTGGGAAATGGCATAGTGAATCCTTTATCCTTGAACAAGCTCTCTCAAGTTCAGTTCACTTGGGTAAGGGTCAAATCATTTTCCATTACTTTCCATTTTTGAAAACTGTGTGATTCAGTGACTTCAGCCAGCTAAGTTCCTGTTCAAATCCCTTTCCCCTGCTTGCAGTTTTTGGTATCTTCTGCAGAAGTCAAGCCTTGGAATACCTATTCCCTCACTAGTCTGGGGGCTCTGTGTTCCAGAAACCTTGTGTGGCGCTGCAGTGCTGGAGAGACAAAACATTGTTCCTTTTTGTTTTCAGATGTAGTGATACAGTGGAGGCTGATCCTTCTTTCTCTCAGTATCTCACTGCGTTAGCTGAGTACCTGAACAAGGTGAATTTCATCCGAGGTGGTGCCTCAAGCATTGTGCGTATGAATTGCAGGTCTGTAACCACTCTGTGGGGTACGTAGGTCCGTAGCCTAGCTGATGGCTTCATTAGAGGACAAAAATCCACCAGTGCCTGGGCCCACCTTGGCAGAAGTTGTCTCCATGCAAGTGACACAAATGACCTTTCAAAATGGCAAATGAGTTGAAATTCTGCCTCATGAAATAGAATCATAGAACCGTTTAGGTTGGAAAAGACTTCCAAGATCATCAAGTCCAACCATTAACCTAGCATTGCCAAGTCTGCCACTAGACCATGTCCCTAAGCACCACATCTACATGTCTTTTAAATACTTCCAGGGATGCTGACTCAACCACTTCCCTGGGCAGCCTGTCCCAGTGCCTCACAATGCTTTCAGTGAAGAAATTTTTCCTAATATCAAACCTAAACCTTCCCTGGTGCAACTTGAGGCCACTTCCTCTCATTCTATCACTTGTTGCCTGGGAGAAGAGACTAACCCCCACCTGTGCTACAGCTACTTTGAGGTAGCTGTAGAGTGTGATAAGGTTTCCCTGAGCCTCCTTTTCTGTAGGCTAAATAAGCCCAGCTCCCTCAGCTGCTCCTTGTGAGCTTTGTTCTCTGGATCCTACATCAGCTTTGTTGTGCTTCTTTGGATGTGCTCCTCGATGTCCTTCTTGTAGCGAGGGGCCCAAAACTGAACACAGTACTCAAGGTGTGGCTTCACCAGAGCCGAGTACAGGGGGACAATCACTTTCCTAGTCCTGCTGCCCACACTAGCTACAAGCCAGGATGCTGTTGGCTTTCTTGGCTACCTGAGCACACTGCTGGCTCGTGTTCAGATGGCTGTCAACCAATACCCCCAGGTCCCTTCCCGACAAGCAGTTTTGCCGCCTTAGTGTATTAATATTGTTACCTTACAGGATGGCATTAGTCACTTTACACTGTCCTAACACTGTGCTCTGTAGAAGAGCTTGCTGTTTCTCTGTTTTTCTATGTGGCAATAGTTTGCCTTTATGACTCCAGTTTAGAAAAATACTGGGACAAAAGAAAAGTAACTTTGCACCAACAGTTGTGCAGTATGCTGTCCTATTTTTGTCATGTTTTCTGATTCTGTTGTAGTTCTATAGTTCTGTACTATTCCTGAACTCAGATATGTCTCAACATTGCATATTTTTCAGAATTTTTCTGGGGAAGATGTTCCCAGCCAACATCCCCCTCCCTTGGTTGTCCGTGTCCGAGGCTGGCCACAGATGAATGAAAGGCAGATTTACCAGGAGTTAAAAGCTCTTTGTCGCTTTGATGTCAGAAGGCTATCAGAGAACCAGTTCATTTTGCTCTCCAATAAATTTAAGCAGTAAGTGACTGGAAAATCCTACCTTTCTGTCCCTTGATCCTCTTTGATCCAAGTTTTCATTCTCCTCTCTCTGTTATGACAGCTCTTAGATAAAGAGATTTCTGTTCTGATCTGTGGGATGCTGTAAGCAGCCTGCAAGTCATGGTTAGTGATATCTGCTTTTATTACAGTGTCAGGCGTGTTCTCCGCAATTATAAACACCACCCTCATCTGCAGATCTCTGTCTATCGCCACTGGAGGCACTCTCCACGTGTGAACTGCTTGTTGCAGTGAGTTACGAAAATCACATGAATGGGGAGGAGGGAGGGAAGGGCATCCTGTTCATAGTGCCGGGGCCCTGTCACAGAAGCAGTGCTGCTCTTTCTGTGTCCTAGAGATCAGGGAGTTGAGAAGGAGGTTCCCATGCTGACTGCTGGATTGCTGCTTGTGATCTTCCGTCCCTGGGCAGTAGGACTTCAAATGAGATCTCGATTAACCAGATCTAAGTTAACCCAAGAACATTTCCCCACAGAGCACAAAACCATGTGCTATCATAACAGACAGAGGATTACCTTAATGAGCTGCAGTGCTAGCTCCAATAAGCTCGAGGAGAGAGGGGCAGAGTCTCCCAGGTGTGGGAGGGCTGTGGGTTTTTCTGGAGCAGAGTTGAAAGCTCAGTAGCAGGGGAGAATTCCAGATTCAAAATGCATCCCTCTGGAAGGAGAGGCAGCAGTGCTAATGAATAGTAAATTTCTGGCCTGACACAGTTAGAAAAAGAATCTCAGTTTTTAATAAGAACAAAATTCAGACCTGAATATAAGTAACCTTAACAATGTTTTATCATTCTTGTCCTTTAGAGTGTCTGGTATTGTGGCACTGTGGTCTCTCTTGGCCTTTGTACTCGGGGGACGTCCTTGCTGTTCATCATAAACGACTCTCTTTCAGCTGAGACATGAGGAACACCGACTTTTTTTTTTTGAATGCTTGTTCTGTTTTGTTTCATTTTCCCTTCATTCAATAAAGTATATATATAAAAAGTGTTTTAAATTTATTTCTTGGAAATGAGCTTTTGAAGAGGATGTGTTGGTTTCTGGTTTGTATTATTTTGTGATCTGTTCAAAGCATAGCCCCCTCCTGAAGAGGTAGAGGTGGTTCTTTTGATGACTAATTTACTTTGATGTTCTAGTGGTTCTTCACAGCTATTCATAAGCTCAGTTTGTTCTCAGTGCTTATCTTGCTGCATAAAACACATTTGTGCTGAAGTTCTGGAAGTTATGAAATGAAAGAGATTATTTTTATCTTCAATTGTAAAGCAGGGGAAATGTCACCGTTTACCAAACAAAAATGGGCAGAGCTGATGGAGAAACCACTCTTGAAGCTCATGAAGGATTGTGGGGAATGGAAAATAATTTGCAGTGCTGTGAGTGTTGTGCAGTGCAGTGGTAGTGGAGCTGAAGATAGGCGCAGATAAGTGGAATTTGTCAGCTTGCAGTTTGTAGAATATGCACAGGTCGGGTGAGTTGGCATGTTATTTGTTTGCTTCTAGTGCACAGCACGTGAGGGCTCCTTTATTCGAAAATATGATGAGCCGTGCACTCTGAGAAACTGAGATCAGTTTCTACAATATAGCTAGAGTATTTGTCAGTCCAGGGACTACCGTCTTCAGCAATCTTTCTTACAAATGTCCTTCTTAAAAGCAATCTGCCCATCCATGATTTCCAAATCATGGTCCGTAGATTTCATCAGTCACCATATGATTTAAAGGAGCTCATGGTCATATAATATGTAGAATCTGCCTTTATTTTACTCTAAAATGGGAATTGCTGCAGAGGACCTTAAAGCAACAGCACAGGATTGCAGTGTGCATGAAGATCACGTGCTCCCTGCTGCTAACAGTTAGCTGCGTTGCTGCTCTGTAGGGCACTGTGTCTTCAGATGTGGTTCGTGAGTTCTGCACAGCTTGTGGTTTGTGCCTCTCGTTTCATAAGATAAGTCAGTTATTTGTCTGTGTAGGAGCAGAGGTTTTTTTTGTAACCCCTTCAGTGATGGGGTTTTGTTTCCTGTCACAATGTTCCTTTAAACGCCAGTGTAAGCAAGGTTCTTTTTGTCTTCATCCCTATAGATCTCACGTGCAGATGGTCTGTGTTGTGTAGAATGGGGAAAGTTTACACTAAGAATTACATGCAGTGCCATTCATTTCCCTATAAAAACACATCTTGGGATGTGAGCTAGGAAATGATACCCTTGTTCTGTGGGCCCCCCTATTTGGCCAGCTATCTAAATATGGGGAGATGCAGCCTCCCTTGCATCTAATCTTTACAAACTAGGGATCACGAGATTATAGGTGCTGTTACCTTTGAGGAACACTGCTGTTTTTAAGGGAGCATGCACTTTGATTTCAGGAAAAAAGAAGTGAATTGTTCTGCCTTTAAACTTTTGCTCCCTTTCTATTTTCTTTTCCAAATGACAGACAAATACTGAATTGGCTCATGGCAGTACTATGGTAGTAGTTTATCCTCTAAAGAAATATGCTTCTCTTTGGAAGAAAGCAGAGGTCCTTTCACCCCTTTTTTGGGAACAGCCCGTAGCTCTGACCATGCCTTCTCCTTGTCCAAGGCACAGACACACTTCACAAAGCCAAATACTGTGCTGAACCAAGACTTGGGTTTACTGCATTAATGCTGGGAGAAAGAACTTATAAGTAAAATTGCTCTAGATCTACTAGATATTCCTTTAAGTCAGTTAAGTTTTCATTCAGATTGTATACAAGAAGAAATATGAGCAGGTTTCTGATTTCCTCGGGAGAATTTGCAATCACAAGTTGCCAGTGTGTAATAACCTAGGGTCACTCGCTTCTGAGAGCATTTTAAAGATAACAATCATGTGTGCTCTCGTGAAATGGGTTAGCTGGGGGCTAGTCTGACAAATCAGAGCAGCTCTTATCTGTGGGAACAGGTTTACAAGTTCTGAGCAGCTTTAGATCAAGACGACATCTCCCTGAACATGCCAATACGGCCATTCTGACCTCAGCTGTTGATTTTGCTCCAGACTAGGGAACTGTTACTAATCCAAGTTGGAAGTATCAAAAGTAGTTCTGGTTACACCCACTCCTACATGCCTTCTGCAAGGAGGGGGAGGAACTTCAGAGTCTTGTGAAACCAGCTCAAGGTGGTGCAACCTGCCTTGTAACTCCAGCCTTGAGGAGGTGCGCGCCAAAGTTGCTGGGTGGCTCTGAGGGCTGGCAGCTCAGAAGTCAAACCTGCCTCCTGAAGTCAATGACAAAACCACGGCTAAGTCCCCAGCGGCAGTTGTACACCTGCTTCTCAACACTGTTAGGAAGTTGCACTTCAGCCTGTAAGGTTGGAAAGAGTAATTCCAACCCTCACTGAAACAACGGTAAAGGTCCCTCTTAAATATCTTACCCTGCAGTGTAGAATTGCAGGTCAGAATGTATCTACTTCTAAGAACAATTTGATTTCTGATTTTTTTTTTTTTTTTTAAATCTTCATGATTAGATGCCTATTTTCTGAGTTAACCTCTCTGCCCCTGCCAGGTAACCTCTCAAGGTATCTCCTGCTGCAGAACACCCAGAGCAGAAGTCCTGCAGCAGAGGAGCTCAGCACTGCCTCACATTAAAAGAAATACCATCCTGCCAGACCTTTGTTGAGGAATTTTATCATTGCCATTAGCTTTGAAAAAAAAAGAAACAAACACCAAAACACTGTTCAATTATGCAAAAAGTCTATGGTGCCATAAATGTAAGAGTCCAAACTATCACTATTTTTTTTTTTAAACAACAATCTGCTCATGGCTTCAGTGGCGATACTCCAGTTACTGGCATTGGAGGAGAGCAGAATTTACTTCTTGGTTAAAGTCAATGTATAGTTCTCGTATAGAAGAAAGCTTTATATAGCCCTCTGTTTCATAGTGGTGTGAATTAATATTTCTCAGTAATGTTATGCATTCAATCAAAATACGCCGTAGCTGAAAACCTTGCTGCATATTGGAAGAGCAAGGTTACGGATACCTTGCTGAAAGAATCAAGAGGAACAGCACCATACTAAGCGCCAGTGTCACTCACCTTCTTGATGCTACGTAGCCCAACAAGTCAGGGGTGCTCTGGCTGTGCTGCAGCATCACAGCTGAGTCTGAACTTTGTATGCTGATCAAGCAACTGAGGAAATTTCTGTATGCCTTTGGGCTTGTCAGACAACACGAGAAAACCATTCTGTGCAACTGTTCTGTTAACATGTTTGTGTTCTCCATGTGGAGTGCTAGGTCTGACTCTGATTTTCTCATTTGATCTTCCTTTTTCCTGATAATCCACCATCTCCTGTAGTCTCCATTCTCCAGAAGACTCATTGAGGGGGCAGTGGATCAAATGCTGTGGACATACTTGTTCCAACATCCGTTCTGCTTAACTAAAGGGCTTGACAGAAGGGAGCGCTCCCTTCTTGGAAGGGAAACGTGTTGGTCAGGTCCCCTGTAAGGCAAGTGTCTGAAGGAGAAAGCAGACCAGCCACTCTGGGGAGAGCACAACTCTCTGTGTCTCTTGGTTTTCCTTGCAATAACAGTAATTACTCCTGAGTCACGCTGAGCCAGCTGGAGGTGTCCTGAGGCGGGTTGCAGCATCTGGCAGCAGAGGTGGCTGCCGTCAGAGCCATAACCGGGGCTAGGCCACATGTCCCCAGTGAGTGCTGGTAGAGAGCTTGTCCTGGTGAGGGTGTCTGAGCCCTATGTATTCAGTTAAAATGCCTGTGAGTGAGCAGTGAGGAGGGAGGGAGGCTGCTGCCTGCTGCCCCAGAGACATGGGGATCGGTGGGGCAGAAGATGAATGAGGGCGGCTGTGGGACACAGGCCAGGACAGGCAGAAAGGGGCCTCAGCAAGGATGAAGCCTGGAAGGAGAGCACAGGCAGGCAGGGGTGACAGAAAGAAAGATTTTCTTCTGTGGGGGCTGTGACTTTGTTTCAAGGCAGGAGGCCATGAAAAGCGGTGAAGAATGGTACTGCAGAGATGCCTGGGGGAGGAGGGAGAGCTTATGCTGAGTGTCTCGCAGAGCTCGTGCATGTTTTCTCTTGCTGCAAAACCTGCCTTGCTCTGATTTGTGGTTTAAACTGGTTTTAACAAAACCAGTACTCCAAGTGCTGTGTGAGCACTTTCAGGCTCACCTTCGGGTACAGAGCGTGGAGCAGTCCCAACCCCAAGGGATATCTGGGCAGAAGCTGCTGGCCTTCAGGCAGGAGCACCACATGCAGGAATGCCCCTGGCTGCCATTCAAGCACCAGTGTTTGATGGTGGACTTGCTATTTCCAGAGTGTATATATACAGGTATCATAAAGAGACCTGTATAAGGTCCTCTCTAGGCAGATTTTAAAAGAAAATAGCAGCAGCAACTCAGTTGGTAAAAACAAACAAACAAACAAATCAATTCCAGTGTTATAAGGCTTGCTTTTAAAACATCTATGGGGTTAAAATCTACAATGGGTGATGGTTACTATACAGGAGAAATGCATGATGTCCTGCAAAACACATCCAGGTTACAAAAAAAACAAAACAAAACAAAACAAAAAACAAACAAACAAACAAACAAACAAAAACAAACAGGCTATTTAAAACATGAAAATAAGTTGTTTAATACCACCCGAGACGTACACAAATTGAAGAAATCCTAAAGTAATTCTAAGTCTGGACCTGGTCCCACCTACTAACACTCTTGAGGTTCGTCTGGGTTTCTAAGCAGTGAAAACTGCGGAAGAATGATCAGCAACTCTCATTCTGTACTTTGAACTGATACAGAATATTTTATTTGTTCCCTAAGACTTGGAACAAAGTGATACTACTGATACTAGACGCAGCTGTGGCATGTTCTCTCTAAAAGATGCTGCTAGAAACTTCTGCTTTGCCTCCAGTTTTCTATTACCAAAGGTCGTGCTGGCTATAAAATTTCTCATTATTTAACAAACTGCTTGCAGCCAGCATAGCCAAACAGGCTATGTTCACTCACCCACCGGAACTGATCTGTCCTGTGCATAACACACACAGCAGG